TTCTGTGACCATAGCAAGATTTAGAAATCTTTGGTGGCCAGAAGTTTGGTACAAAACTATTCTTAAACTAAAGAGTCCCAAGGTATAATTAAACTTTCAACTGTGCTTATTCAAATGTTTTTGGTTTTTATATTACCCAAATCTGAAAAGAGCTTCCCTGATTTAATCCAGTATGTCCCACTCATTCAAAAAAAACCCCAAGCCCACCAAGCAAAACAAAACCCCCAAAATTATTTTACCCCAATTTCCACCTTCAAGAAACACATCTTCATCTACTTGATATTTCTACTGTCACCCAATTTCCACTTTTCTGACGTGGGATAGTCTATAAATAATCTATAAAAAATGAGTTGAAAGACTCAGATGGAATGTTTTGATTTGGGGAGATTCAGACCTGTTGCATAACACTTGGAACAGAAGTACCTATCTGGTGTTACAGCAACCTCAGGAAAAGTCTGCCTGGCTTTTCTTGGGACAGTGCCATCTCTCCTGACTGTCTCAAGTATCAGTGACCAGTTGAGAGAAGTTAAGTCCATGAACTTTTAGCTACCTTTGTATTTTTTTAGGGAACTGATACAGGACCTATGCAAATAAGTCCCACATACTTCAATACTGGGGAACAAAATTTGAGACAGGATACATGACTTTTCTACTGGGATTGCTTCTACCTCCCTCTTCCCAGTGAAAACTCAGGATTGAAGATGTCAAACTTTGACAAACAACAATGATTATTCTATGCTTATATTTTTATATATTCTTGGTTTATAATATTGATGATGATATCCACTTCCTGACAGTCAAATGAGTGTCTGGATCAGGCTAACAGAATGTTACAAATGTAGTTTCTTTATGTACTCACTTAGTAATTAGCAAATTTGAACGAAGCTGATAGTATCAGTATGAAAACTAAAGTCTTCCTCATCAGTATAGAAGTTCAGAATCTGGCTCATATTTAAACAATCGCTAGTGTCGTTATATTGTGTCTTAGCTCTGACCTGACTGGTGTTTTGTGACAGAAGATTCTCATCGTAGGCACTATGATCCCAACATAGAAAATATTGCCAATAAGGTTAAGGAGGGAGCTAATTATTTTCTACCAGTTTCAAAACAGCATAGTAAGTGTATTTGAAATAAGGAATTACATAGCAAAGAAGGAAAGGATTGAATTCTCTTTCAACTGGATGATCTACAATAGTATCCTACTCTGAAACAGGAGGCAGGACTAGATGTTTGGGGCAATATTATCTGTTGCTGTATAGTGAGCTTCTCTATCTTCATCTGATCATTCATATCATTCACTCCAGCACACAAGTTCTCAGAACATTCAATTAATTCTGAGGATCTTAAAAAAAAAAGGAAAATCTGCACTGCTCAGGGTGGAGGGGAAGACGGGAAGAGAGGTATCACACATTAATGCTTTACGTGCTTTACAGATTTCCTTAGTGTAACACACAACTGTTTTTTTAAATCTCTAACTTGCAACCTTCAGTATTGTTCTTTTATTTCTTTAAGATTAAACTTATGTATGTGACAAACATACTAACAATGCTGTCCCATGCACTGACAGTGTGTTTAACCCTTTCTCATATAAATTACGTGCATGGTAGCTGAATGATGGGACTGACTTTCTTTCTCTAGTTTGGTTTAGGTCAAGTGAGAATCAGGTGATGACATTTCATATGAAACCAATAAAGTGTGAAAGGTTATAAGAGAAAGAGCTCCTCTTTTCCTCCAGTTTCCTTTTCGGCAAACAAATGAATAATGAATTCACTGTAACATCATTTAATGTACTCAGCTGTAAAATACGTACATTCTCAAACCTGATATTACTCAGACATCTAACACATGCTAATGAATCAACTTTGTTTCTGCAGACGCAATTAAAATCCCCATCTTTATTTATGCAGTCCAGGTTAAAAAGGCGATGTCAAGCTGCAGGATTACATAATTAAAAAAACACAAGCAAAACAGAAATTACGACATGGAGATGGAAAGCAGATGAAGTCCCAGAGAGAAATTATCTTGCCTTGCAGCAGAAATAACGATCAGGCTGCCAAGACACAAAAGCAATCAAATGGAATCAAAGGAAAAAGAGAAAAAGAATTAGTGAAGATCTTAATCTCTAATGGTATGTAACAGTGTTTGTATTTAATGTTTGAAATTTCTCTTGCTCTGCTGCAATAAGGATGTTTTATATAAAAATGATAGCATGACAAAAAATAACAATGAAATGTTGTCAACATATTTTTTTCCCACACAGGGACTCACACTGCTGCCTCACCATCAATTTCATTAATTTCATGTAGCTACTGTACTAGGAGAAGAGGTAACCGGTATGCCATATTCACAGACTCTAAGGTTGGAGCTGAACTACGTACTGGTTAGCTGGTCTCTAATGCTCTGCATTGAGTGCATCAAACTCACTTGACCCGTGAACATAGAATGTATTAAGCTATTCACAGAAAAAAAAATATACAAACATAAGCACTGAATGCACAGACAATCTATTGACTAGATTGTCGGTCTCTTATTACACTCAGGGAATGTATTGCTGCTGAATGCTAATCACTTGTGGAGGTAATTACTATTCTGACCAGTGTTTTTTTTTTTAGCAAAGGCTAGAGTTAGCTTAAAACTCTGCTAAGCAATTATTGGAGAGAATGAGTAGAATTTTATTTAGTTACATCAAACCACCGTCTAGACAGTGGCTCTGGCCTGCACTATTAAGATTAACTCCCAAGTGTTTAAGTACCCCTTCTGCAATGGGCTGCTTATTAGGATTGTATTTTTTCTTAGCACTGATGCTATTTGTCAGCAACTTTATTATATAAGAAGCAATCAGTGAAGAAATGGGCAAAGTTTCATTTGCTAAATTCCAAACTGTCAGTGCCTAGACTAGACAAGGCCTGTAGTCTCAAGATAAAATGAAAATTCCTGATAAAATTACTCTCTGCTATGCAGTAATTGCCATCAGGTATGTAGAGACAGTGTTGTTAATGTAGGTTGAATTTACATGCAGAAAGTGATTCTATAGTGAGAATGCTATACATTGCTTGAACTGCAAAAAACCTAACCTATTTTTAGAAACTTATGAAATGGTAAAAGAATAAATATAAATATATGTACTTTGATACACCTCCAGAAAGGAATGACTGTTGCCAAGAGGTCCAAGAAGTTAGGTAATCATTGCAATTGTATGTATCCAAGCATGCGAAAAAAACATCAATGCCAACACAGTGCAGCATTAGGCTTTACGGTGCATTCCTCCCTCTCCCAAGCTTACACATGCAAAATCATTTTCATTTTGAAATGGTGCTCATCCATGAGTTACTGAAATATCACCTACTATCCAGTTACCTCCATAAGATTCTTTTTTATTGATTTAAAAGCTTTTGTGGATGATAAATCTCTTCTCCTCCTCCCTAGTCTCTTTCTTTCTGAATTGTTCTTGATTCTCTGTATTTATGGTGCTTTTTTAACATGTTGCACAGTGCCTTAGGTACCTCAGTTTTTCATATTGCTAAGGGCATTCCACCTTCAGTCCTGCAGCCTGCCTCCCACTTGCAGCTCCCTACCCCTTCCGACAAGCTCTCAGGACAGCATACCCCAGAATGCCCGTGGCAGTATTTTTATGCCTGTGGTGCTATCTTTCCTGTGACACAGTTGTTTGTTATTATTCATCTCCTGGACCTACACTTGCAAACCTTGATACGGATGTTATGGCAGGCTCCTAAGGGAAGTGATCGCCACTGATGTTAGAATCACCATTTCTTTCTCCCCTTTCCTGATTTATTCATTTGGTTGTAGCTTCTGCTTTATACTACAGACTCGTTAATGTTTTTGCAGAAAGCTTGGCAATGCATCAGCTGCGTAGCACCTTTCCCAGTCAACGTGTGCTCCCAGTAACAATAACAGCATCATAAGCAGGAACAACTCACGAGGAGTCTGAGTATGTTCTGACATAAAATACAGAGTTATTGTGGGAAAAGTATGATGGGGCAACCACCTTCACTACTGGAGAAGGTGCTGAGGGCTGGACACTCTCTTCTCTTTCTGATTGGCCACTGAGAAGGGTTCTTGACTTTTCTTTTTCTCACCATCTTTCTCTTCTTTTTTTTCCTTTCACTCCCCTCCCCAGATAACATCTACCATTAGAATTGAAGAATGCTGTCAAAGATGGACCTGCTAGTAAATCTGCATGCAACACACAGTGGTCTGTTACTAATCTTTCCATCACCTTCCTTATTAGATAACAAAAAAGTATTACTACCTTTGGTTTCCCTTCAAATATAGCACATCTTTTACCATAACACTTCTATTATCAGAACGGTAGCTTTATGTTTTAGTCCTTTGCTTTCCTAATTGTACTTTGCCCTGTAAAATTGAATTTGAAATATTGCAGATAGTTTTGTATTCTATTACTGCATATGCTGTTGTAGAGTTTTCCTAGCACCCAGCATGTGCTAAAAAAAACATTCTTATGTTTCTTAAGCAAATCCAAATCCTCACTGATCTTAAGTAATGTTTAATCTATACCACATAAAACTGAAAATGGAATGCTGTTGACATACATTAACTTCCTTATAACAGGATAATACAATCATATTCTTGATACTATAGAGGAAGTGACATTTCCAATCAACTCCTAATATCTCCTGTATGGCTGAAATAGCAAAAAAAAAAAAAAAAAAAAAAAAAAAAGAAAATCACTGTGGATCAAGAGATTTCAAGTTTTTCAGAGTACAAAAAACCTACAAAAGAAGTGGTGTGACTTGGTAATTTGATAATTTCACAGTGTAACTACCGTTTCCTATACAAGTGATTTTCTTAGTATAGACATTTAACTGTTGGCAGCCTAAAAAAAAACAAACCCAAAAACCAAACCAAGACAGTGCTTGTTCATATATAGGAGGCAGACAAACATACATGAAAGAAACAAAAATCTTACCTAAGTGATTACTCAGGTACAACATCATTAACACTGCATATGCTTTCCTTACCCTGGACCTCTCCTCCAGTTTTGTCATCATGACGACAGTTGCACCGCGTTGCTCCCACATCATTCTCCAGAAGTCACCAAAGGTTTCTGGCAATGCCCCTTGCGTTGCTATATAAGCATTCTGCTTTCTGTATCCATCTATGTAGTTCGCATTGATGTAGTCACTGCCTGGTATGCCTGCAAAGAGAGAAGAGTGAAAACATGGGGAAGCATTTCTGTGCTGTCCTGTTGTACAAGGGCTAAAAAATCCCGGGACGAGGCTGGATCAGTGAATCTTAGCTTGCTGCACGTCAGGCAGTACATGGGCACTTGCAAACGAGGGTATGCTATTTGTGGAGCTGAGGGGTATGATGGCCTTTCTGGGAATAACCTTTCTTCTGAAACAAAGAACTTAGTCCAATAAGGAAGTATAAAAGAAGCCTGAAAATCTGTAACAGATGGAGAGACCCTGAAGTGGAAAGAGCAGCATTTAAAAGCTGGTCTGACACTGCCTGCAGTCACCTACCAGTATGGCACACTATGCCTAGGCCAGACAGGGAAGGCTCTCCATCAGATGCCCTAAGCAGGTGCCACTTAACACTCTTGTTGACCTCACTGCATTTCTTTTAAATACAGAAAAAGGGTTAATGTTGTCAGACTATTAATATTACTGCTACATTCATTTTTCCTGTTAAAGGGGAAGCTACCTATGAGCTTTATTTTAACAAAACACATTATGTAAACCAGGTTTAAGAAACCGTGGAACCTGCTATGTGGTGTGTGCATGAAATAAAGACCTCTGCAAGTCTAAATAAAAATCAAATGCATGAAGAGTAGATGGAATCCAAGACCTGTGGGCACATTGGACCTACACTGTCAATTGCTTGAGGCTCAGGTATTTTGGACAAGACTTACAGAGGGACTTTGGGTGTGTCTAGCAGACCCATGTCCATGCTTTGAGCCTCATGGAAGCAAGCCATCTCCCAACTAGAATCTGTTTAACTGAGGGTATGCAGTGCCATGCTTGTACTGAGATCTGGACCATAACATGCTGCCTGCCAAGGCTGAATGCGGTATTGAGGGGTATTGGCTGTAGTGAAGATCATATTACTAGCTTGGACGAATAAGGCAGTCAAGCTCACAGAAAGGGCTAAATATGGAAACACAGGTCTCAGTCCTGTCCTTGTTCGATTCAGAAGTCCACTGTCCAGCTTTTAACTCAGACTACATGCATGTAGGAAGACAAAGCAAGGCAGGCACCAGTTTTGATGTCACTGCTGGTTTTTTTAATTGATGACTTGATGAAGAAAAGATACTCGTGTTAGTGGGATGGTAAAGCAGTGTTTCCTCCATTACTGCAGTGTTGAACATGGAAGTGCTCCTCAGAAGAGTTAGCTGAAATACAGAACTGTGCCTCATAATAAAATGATAAAAAAAGGTTTGTTAAAATAATTAACAGAAGTTACTTCATTGAGCAGAAATGAATGATTTATGTTCACACAGCCAATCTGCCATGTCCAAGTCTACAATCCCAGGATATGGTGCAGGTTCCACAATCTGTTTCAAAAGAGAGTCAAGGTGATACAAGCTCCCTGGCTTATTCTAAAGTTGTGACTATTTTCACTCCACAAAGCAAAAGAGTTGAATTTCTTTGGCTATGAAACACAATAAATTATTGAATATGTTTAAAGAAATGTTTCTCAAACTTTGTGTCAGAAACTGAACTTCTAAATCTATTCTGATACATTATATCTCCTGCTGGTGATGCCAAACCAGGGATTATTGGGGTTGCACACTCCTATCTTTCCTGACAATGAGTGCCATACATCTGAAAATGTCTTCCAAAATAACTTGAATTTGAATGGAAAGTAGAGGTTCCTCTTTAACACTTTTTGTTTGGTTGGTTTTAGCTATAATTTGAGGAGTTTCTCCACTCATTGTGGGTAGGCTCAGTGTTTCTTTCCACTACTCAGTGATGCACAAACCCACTGATTAACTGTGACACTAATTAAGACCCAATATAATATTGAAATTATTATGATTATGGGTTTCTGCAGTTTTAGTCTGGCATAAAATTTTGCTTTGATGCCCAAGAAAGTGCAACAGATTTTATTATTTTATATGTTCAAATTATATTTAGACACAAATTTTAATTTGATTTGACTTTCTGCACAATTAAAGGAAAAATCTGACAAAAATTTCAGGGAAGGGAAGGGTTTGTAACTTCGGGGACACAAGAGAGGCAGCAAATAGCACTCCTCAGGAAAGATGCATGGGTGGACACAGGAAGACTGTCTGACTATGATTAGAACTGACTGAAAGTCTCTTCTGGAAGAAACAAAACAAAATAAAAAACCTTTAAAATCTGCACAGTCTCTATCTGAAAAGCATAAAAGGCAGAAATTGGAGTTCAAAAGCCTCACTCTTGTAGACCTGAAACTTTTTTACATGACACTTCTTATTGTGGATATTGGAATTAATGACTTAGAAAATAGAACTGCTAGGCACAATGCCATATTTTCTTCCTTTATCGAGATAATAAAACATTTTTGCACAAAACAGATGAAGAAGAAAAATGAAGCCAACAGGAGAAATCTACACCAACTGGGTATCATTACCAAACGAACTGAGAAAGCTGGTAAGAAATGTTTTCTGCATAAATTAGAATTATATTATGATGCCTAGTATCATACTTTGAAGCATATGTTATAAATAAAAGCCTGAGGAAAAAAAATGAAAAAGAAAACCAGCACTTTTTAAAGTGGTTAAATGATCTTCTGGGAAAGCTGTCCTCTGGAGCTGATACTGCACAAACAGCGTGAAAATTAAGCATGAGAAGTATGGCAAACTGTGCACTAAAGAATGATATCTTACAAATCTTAGCAGCCAGTCTTAGTACCTGATGTAAAAAAATCCAGAATGTCCAAAATTGTAAATAGTCTTTCTACTTACTGACTTGCATTAACTTTACTGATAAATCATATTAAAATAAATAACTTCTAAATTAAACTAACTCTAATACTTTAAACTAGAATGAAAAAAGCTTCCAGTTTATACCTCACTTGATCACAGATGCAAGTAAGAAAGAATGAAGATTAACAATTACTGGCATTTGCAAACAGCAGTTCTTCCTAGTTAGGTTAAAATGGAAATGTCCACTCTATTTTTCCCACTTGCCTTTTATCAAGAGGACACAAAAAATCCTGTATTTTCTTTAAATAGAAAGATCATCTTACAAAGCAACTCAGTCTCATGGTGCATGAAAAGTATGTGGCTGTGACATGACCAGGTAAGTCCACTTACCACAGGGCCTGAGTAACTGTTATTGACTTAAGAAATGCAGTTTCAGGAAAAACTAGGTGCTGCTCCAACACTTTGCACTGATTTTCATCAAGGGTTTATCTCTAGCAGGATACAGTACTCCACAGGGTTATATCTCTACTGAAATCAAGGTAACAATGGGATGCACAATCCTCAGCTCCATTGTCTCTCTCACTCACTGTATCCATTATGTGCTTTCTTTACTCTCCATCCATTCTCACCGTCCCTGCAAGTATCATACCCATTTCTCACACTGAGTCTCTTTTCATCACTGTTTTCATGCACGACCTCAGTTCCATGTCCTGTTCTAAAATCCTTTTGTATTCTGTATTACCATTTTCCCACTCTCATTTTCTGTCTCACACTTTGCCACACCATTTTTTGCTTCATCAGCTATGTCCCCACAATGCATAAACTTACAGATCTCTAGGGAAGGTGTCTTATCATGGCCTAAATGAAGTGTGTGCAGTTTAAAAATAACATATACAAAACCTGAACATCTGTAAATACCTACACTGACCAAGCAGAAACAATTATCAAAGGCAAACAAATCTAAATATTAAAATGTCACTTTCTGCAATGACTTTTCTGGCCATAACCTCATTCTGAGCTGACAAAGCAGAACAATTCTCTGTCAAGTCCAATAGTGCAAAAACAATCAAATGACAACTAGTTTGACTGCAGTACAATGAAATCCTGCAAACCTTTGTTAGCTGCCATAGCTTGAAGGCAACATACCCTACAAGCACAGCAGCAATTGTCATCATTACTTAAATTTGGGTTTAATAGTTAAGAGAGGTCAGTTCTGTAAAATCATGGGTCAAGCTGGGGACAAAGCAAACAAACTCTGCCTTCAGTAATATTAATATTAACATTAACCTTAACTAAGTCTACTGGCATCTGTAGGGTTTACTGCAGATTTAGGATGCCATACGTGAAGTGTAAATTTAGGGTAATCCACGCAGTATAACCTGACTTTTACAAGTTTCATGAACGTAGAGACAGTTTCTGAACAAAAAGTCAGCCAAAGACTAAGCTTACAGATTGTAATTCTACTATGACTATTTTCTAGTAGCCTTTTCAACTATGGTGATGAATGACCAGAGTCTGCAATCTCCTTATTCTGCCAGACAGGAATCAAGCGCAATGGAGGAAGAATCGGATGAATAGTTAAGCATGAAAGACATTTCATTTTCAAATATCTCAAGAGAACAAAGCAGTCTAGATTTTACAAAGTGTGAATAAGCAATGAAACAAAATTAGCCAATGGCACAATTAAAGTGGAAAAGATTAAAAAAAATGAACTCTATAGCTCCTGATTTATGCTGAGACTGTACTCACGAACTGAGATGACAGTAAAGCTTGCTGCAACATAAGACTCAGATCCACAAGGCTAATAACATAGACCTCGGAATTATTCATTTGATTTCCTGAAGACAGTTATAATCTTAAATATCTTTAATTAGACTTCACATTTTATTCACAAATTGAAATCAAATAACTAAATTATTTCAAGTGTTTACAAAGGCTAAGTACTAAACAGACTTCCCATTTAAACCCAATTTAACCATAAACCTTTGTTTCTGTGCTGCTTCCCTAAGAGATGTGCTGTTAATCATAAAAAGAGTGTGAAGTAATAGTATTAGATTTCATCATGTTCGTAAACAAGTAAAAATGCAATGATGAACTCAAAATACTGATGAAGTTGTACTACGGGTTTAAATCAATGACTGATGTTTTGAACTACGTCAGAGTAAAAATGAACTAAGGCAGCTACTAGGTGCCAGTAACAACTGTTTATGTGGAAATTTTTTAACATAAAATCTAAGGAGTTATCAAACTCAAATGATCTGAGCACCAATGTGTACTGCAAGATCTCACTGAAAAATTAAGCAGTGCAAGACCAAAGAAGATACTCCAGTAATGGATATTGGTAAAATGAAAGCTTTTTACAGACACTGAGGAAAATTCACTGTGTATCATCCTAACAATGTAAGGTAAGAAAGAAAAAGGAATGACAAAAAAAGAAAGCCTATTGATAGTTGGATTGTGGATTGACAACTAGGACACTCTGGTGAAGAGGCAAAGGATGAAAAATAGGTAGTCTCCAAGTGAAATATTGAATTATAGAGAATTATGGAAAGAAGGTGATGTCAAAATGGGGTGGGCAGAAGATGCAGAACTAAGCAGGACCAAGAAAGGGATTGTGTAGAGGACAGAAGACAAATATTTGAAAGGAAAAGAAAAAGTCAAGAAAAATCTGAAAAAAAAAAATTAAAAAAAACTTGGAAGATGAGTAGCAGAAAAACAGGCTGGAAACAGGAGGAGCTCTGTTAAGAAAAAGAAAGGAAGCTTGGATTTGTTTGGTTTTGTTTTAAAAGTTGTCTAGTATCCATGGCTGTTGGGTAAAGTCCGTGGTGACTGGAAAAAAAGGAAACATTGCTCCTGTTTTTAAGAAAGGAAGAAAAGAAGGCACGGGGAACTACAGGCTGGTGAGGCTCACCTCTGTGCCTGGGAGGATCGTGGAGCAGATCCTCCTCGAAGCCATGTTAAGGCATGCACGAGACCAAGAGGTGATCCGAGACAGCCTACATGGCTTCACCAAGGGCAGATCTTGCCTGACAAATTTGGTGGCCTTCTATGATGGAGCGATGGCTTCTGTAGACAAAGGAAGGGCAATGGGGACTTGCGCAAGGGGACTTGTGCAAAGGGACTTGTGCAAAGCCTTTGACATTGTCCCTCACCACGTCCTTCTCTCTAAATTGGATATGGATTTGAACGATGGACTGTTCAATGGATAAAGAATTGGTTGGCTGGTCACAGACAAAGAGTTGTGGTCAACGGCTCTACTGCTGGGTGGAGACCGGTCACAAGTGGTGTCCCTCAAGGGTCTGTCTTGGGACTGGTGCTCTTCAACATCTTTATCAACATCTACGACCGAATCGAGTGCACCCTCAGCAGGTTTGCAGATGACACCAAGCTGAGTGGTGCAGTCGATACAACAGAGGGAAGGGATTCCATCTAGAGGGACCTGGACAGGCTGGAGAAGTGGGCCCATTAGAGCCTAATGAGGTTCAACAAGGCCAAGTGCAAGGTGTTGCACTTGGGCCAGGGCAATCCCAGGTACTCATGTAGACTGAGACAAGAACTCTTGGAGAGCAGCCCTGCAGAGAAGGACTTGGGGGTCCTGGTGGACGAGAAGCTGGACATGAGCCAGCAGTGTGCACTTGCAGCCTGGAAGGCTAACTATGTCCTGGGCTGCATTAAAAAAGAGGTGGCCAGCAGGGAGAGGGAGGTGATCTTCCCCCTCTATTCTGCTCTTGTGAGACCCCATCTGGAATACTGTGTCCAGGCCTGGGGCTCCCAGCACAGGAAGGACGTGGAGCTCTTGGAGCGGGTGCAGAGGAGGACCACTAAGATGATCAGAGGGCTGGAGCACCTCTCCTGTGAAGAAAAGTTGAGGGAACTGGGCTTGTTTAGCTTGGAGAAGAGAAGGCTCCAGGGAGACCTCATCGTGGCTTTCCAGTACTTGAAGGGAGCCTATAAACAGGAGGGGGAGCGACTGTTTACAAGGGTTGATAGTGACAGGGCAAGGGGGAATGGTTTTAAACTAAGAAAGGGGGGGATTTAGGTTGGATTTTAGGGGGAAGTTTTTCAGTCAGAGGGTGGTGAGGGGCACTGGAACAGGTTTCCCAGAGAAGTTGTGGATGCCCCATCCCCGGAGGCATCAAGGCCATCCTGTCTGGACCAGTGACACAGGAAGGAATATTCTTCTTGAATTACATCACATATAATGCTAATTAAAATATCCTCTCTTGAGTGTTAAGAAAGGTAGTTCTACTAGGTAGCAGCAGGTTTCTATACAGCTATATTCTACAAGGCAACGTGAAAATTGTAAGTGAAGTTACAAAAAATCTTGTCAGAACTGCTATATGAGCCTCAGAGGTGGAACAAACGCAAGCAGACAATCATACGCAAATTCTTCAAGGCAATCATTTAAATTTTCTATTACATTTAGGAAGCTCTTATCTGTGTTACCAAAGCCCACATTATGCAGCTGCAGTAAATAACAGAAGATCTAAACTGCAGTCAGTGGTATTGCCTTTTTCTTCACCAAGCAGCCAATATTAAAATGGTTATCCCTAGAAATATTGTCTCTCCTGTATCCAGTGTCTTCAGGTCTGGAGGAGCCAAGGAAGCTGTTTATAACTGTAAATTAAAATACCTTGCAGTTTAACTTCTGGTATGTTAGGACTGAAATAATTATGACCTTGAATATAGTTCCCTACATCTTAGGTATCATATGCAAGCCCTGTCGGAGTTACTAAAGGGAAATTTTATTTTCATTTAAATTGTTTCACTTAAATATTTCAGTTATACTCTGGTCATCATTTATACCTGGCTGTCAGCAATATACAATAAAATGAAAATCTGTCTTCATGCCAGAAATCAGGTTAATGGTAAGGCAGAACTGGCAAGAAAAGAAATCCTCTGAATGAAAACCAGTGCTTCCCTTTGCTTTAGCACTTGGTAAAAGTGACACAATACCCAGGGCTGATCACCTTGGACAGTTTGCTTAAGTTAAAATTCTAAAATGTGCAAGTTTTTTAAAAGCTTTTTGACAAAGAAAGATACAATGAAGAGGTCTCATTATACCCCTCTGTCAATCTTTTGGCAGTGAAATACTGAGGTTCCAAAAGAAAAAAAGGGAAGTTTGAACAGAGGTCTCAAAATTCTCCCTGAGAACATAAAGTTGAACTGATTTTTTTTTTTTTTCCCCCCACATTAAAGATTTGGAAACTGAAATCCAATAATCAGCTATGTTGATAATGCCATTGATCAACAAAAACCTCAATTAATGCATGCTTACTGCTATATTTGCTTTGTATAATTAGTATAAGTAAACAGCAATGATAATTTACTTTAGATAACACATTGGCATGCACACAGGGACCTGATACATATACGTGCTATATATGACCCTGTGTCGATTTTAGTGCATTTTCATAATAAACTACTGAGAATGAACAGCAGAAAAGGATTGTCTTTACAGGAATTTACTGGAAGTACTTTATTTAACACTTCTTTATATTACTATGCAAAGATATCAGGAGGTAAAATTATACTGGATTTTAGGATTCAGGTTTAAAGTTCTCCTTACCTTCTATTGCTGAGAGTAGAACCCGAGAATGGTCATATGCAATTACATTTGCATATCTATTCTTTGGTTTGTTTACTTCTAGGTTAGAATGTTCCCATGTGAACTGCTGACCAGGATCAATAGACTTCAAAAGAGAAAGAGAAGAAAGGAAAAGGAAACTTTTAGCTCAGAACAAAGTACTTGTTGTATTTGTAATGATTACAAACCATATCCTCCCATAGTTTACACTGGAAATATTTTGCTTTGAAATACAGTTATGACTTCAGGACACATTGTAACATATTGTATTATACTAGACTATACTATACTACACTATACTACACTATACTATGCTATATTATATTAAGCATTTTTGTATTTATGCATCTGAAATATCCATCAGGAATTTAAAACAGAAGCTTTTCAAATTCAAGGCTTTCTCTTCAGAAAGGCAAGGGTATGCTATCCATCTTTTTATCTTTTCATAGAATCATAGCATGTTTTGGGTTGGAAAGGACCTTAAAGATCATCAAGTTCCAACCCCTCTGCCATGGGCAGGGACACCCTCCACTAGACCAGGTTGCTCAAAGCCTCATCCAGCCTGGCCTTGAACACCTCCAGGGATGGGGCATCCACAGCTTCCCTGGGCAACCTGTTCCTGTGCCTCACCACCCTCACAGTGAAAAACTTGGCAAGTGAGGGGGTTCTAGCATAACAGAGAATGAAAAAAATGTCAGAAATCTCAAAAACACTGGGATGAAGGGGAATAAATATTTTTGTCTTTATTCATAAGCACACATGTTCAAACAATTCAGTGTCCTGTTTACTAAATAAACTCCAAATGTTCCTGAAGAAGTTTTCCAGAAGAAAAATAATGTTGTTTCTGTTTTTTCATTTTGATGCCAGGCCAACACATGATACTAGCATTGCTCAGGGCATCAACTGCATATCATCCAGGCACAGCATAAAGAGACTTGATTTTGTATTTCCTTGAGTTATAAATCAGAAAGCAATTCAGGCATATTTGAAACTTTAAGGATCTCTTATTTGTACATGCAACTATGTGGTCCTAGAATCACCATTTATCTCCTGCTTCCTTCATGTTCTAGGATGGAGTTACTGAAGCTTGTCCCACACTCCTTCATTCTTCACCAGTAGGAAGTGTCCAGGCTCTATTACGTGCTTTTACCTCTATAGTTGAGGTATACATACAGCTGGGTAACAACAGATGGTACCTGCTTACGCCTGGCATGGTCATCTCATGCTGAGAAGTCACAATCGCATATTGTTTTACTTTCCCTTTCTGTAAAATCAGAGAACTTAAAAATTGTTTCATCAACACGTATATGCAACTATGGTTTGCAGCTCATGCCCTTTGCTTAATCCTGGTAACAATCAGCAGATGCCTGTGCCCGGTTGCTGTAAATTATAAAAAACTAATAAGACAAGCCTAGATGAGCGGTCCACTAACACTATGCTCACTTTCCATGAGTAGACCAGCAACAAAGCACACAAGTTGGAAGCTCCATACTGCCACTACGGCATCAAGCCATCACTTATATGGATTCCTCCCAGGGTTACAACCACTGTAAGTCCTTTTTATGTTAATTGGAAAGAAATATGACCTGTAATCTACTACAGTAAGTATTATCAGATAATGAAGATCTGTGAAATCAATTAGTGTGATCTATTAGGATTTATAACTTAGATTAATAATTACTATTAATAATTACTATTTGACTAATCAGAAAACTGCTTTGTTCTTCTGCATCTTTCATATTTTATACAACTTATTTATGTAACATTCAGAGAAATGGCTTTGCTTCCTTTTCGAGATTATTCTAAGAAAAATTCATTTTGCCTGGCTGCCCGATAGAGAGGTCTTAGAATGCCTCATCATTTCTGTTTAGGAAATCAAGCCCCAGTACCTTAACCTATCTACTAATACCCTAGACTCAATTTACTCTTATAACAGTTACCAGCTAATTTTCCTGAATTTTGGTAACTTTCACTACAGTCCTCTGGAGCTGCACCTGGCTGAGCTGCCCTGCATAACCTAGCTGAGATCTGCTGAGCAGAGGAGTGTGATGGTTCAGGTTCTGGCTCACCCTTTGCACACTCCTTTACCTATAGCAGCTGAGGCAGAATGCGTGGCAGCTCCTACCTCAAGAGGAACTGAAATGGGACTTTTTAGGAATGAGGAAGAAATTAACTGCTTGGGATTGTGATGAAGGTCATGAAAATTTTACTTGTGTTTTGGATATCACTCACTTGAGTTGTATTGCTATGTGTGTTACTAACAGTTCAAAAGGTGTTCTTAATGCTCTGAATGAATCTGGTGTAATTTACACACAATTTTTGTCCCCAAAATTATTTTTTTTAAAAGTAAAATTCGTGGGATTATGCTTAACATATCTTAATATGTTAATCATATTAATATCTTACCATAACTAAGCCAGTATCTTAATCGACTAGTTAATAAGAAATTTACAAAACTGTTGATGGTGGTTTTTCAAACTTATTGTGTTTTGTTTTCATGTACAGGAAAAACAAACCATCACGTAATTGGTATCTGCCACTTGCAAAAGTAGACATAACTTCTGTGCTGTACTTAAGTATAAACATAACAACCTGATCCTTCCAATATTACAGCTTGGTCCTCCTCCAAACAAAAAAGCAATACTTTTTCTGACTACAGAGTGAAGAGAAATAATTTTGACATTTCCATCAGCACTGGGAAGAGAAGAGTCACATACGCATACAGTATACTTAAGATATGCAATATACCTCTTTAGCAGCTGACTAGCAATTCATCTACATCATATGACTTGAAAAGATAATGACTTCTCTCAGCAAGAATCTCCCCTCTTTTCCTTTTTGAGAGAATGAGGTGAATAAGACAACCTGTGCAGGATGTTTGCAGGTCAAGTTTTTGGTAGCCAAGTATTAAGAAAGTATTAAAAAAAGTATTAAAAAATAAAGTAGTAAGTATTGGTTTAGCTCAGAATTCTAGTAAAAATTTAGAACACAAACACAGTACTTTCAAAATGAACAGATGGCGCTCTTAATATATTAATGCATTATACTCTAAATAAATTTTTAAATACATTCAATTATTTGACCAGCAATAAACCACATCTACACTATCTGTGGCATATATGCAAACATGCTAGCTAAAGAGCAGCCCACTGCCTCGGAATGAGGCAACAGTGCACTGCATTGCTGTAGATATATAACTGAAGGAGACACTCTGCCTGATCTTCTAGGTTTTTACCTACTGTGCCCAGATATTCTGGAAATTACTTCATGTTATAAGATGTCACATATACTTTCTCTTCACACTTGACGTGAAAAAGAGAAAATAACATAACAAACAGGCTGACTAACATGCTGCTAGTTTTTAGCTTGGACTGCAAGACTCGGGGTTTACTCTATCAAAAATAAAATGGATATACACAGTTTTAAAAAAACCATAAATTATCAATTCATCACTACAACTACTTGCAAACATAAAGGTTATGGTTCATTTTTGCATATACCATTGCACTTAGAAAATTACAGTCTAAGTAGATTCTTACCCATTATGAGAAAGAGCTTCAGCTGTATTATTATGCCTATTGTTAATGTGAATTTATAATTGTTAAGAATACCTTACATTTAAAGCTTAGCTTCAACTGTTCGGTATTACTGTTCCCCTTTTCACTCCTTAATGTCTAACTGATCTATAGCTGCTTTTGCATAACAGGAAAAAAATCAAACAGAAGCTTACTCTCTCATCTATTTGTAGAAGTAGATGAGGATATGTTCATCACTGCAGCATACTATATTCCCCATTTACTTCTTTGTTTGATGCATGGACAGATGGTGGAATTCTGTGATTAATATTTAGGCCTGCATGCAGACATGGTTAACATAAATTATGTCAAAACCAAGCAAACGGACTGAACTTTAATCTTTCCTGTTTTTCTCACCAATCTGAACCACTTTGTGGCCTTACTATCCTCCCACCAAGCACAGTTTTGGCAAAAGAAAGTTAATCTATATTTCCTCAGCCTTAATAGCCACACTGGGATGAAGAGTAGAGTGGTATTGGCAGCCACATTTCAGAAGTGTGAAAGACCAATAACTCATGAATAACAAGTCTGTACTAACAGTTTTAATGAGTGCTTTAATGGTTTAACGGATGGCACTTTAATAGGATTTCTAGTGTATTCATTCTGAAAGCCTGCCTTCAATAAAGCTGTCATTAACAAAGGACTGGATTTTTTTTCATAGCATAACTGTGTAGTAAGGGTGCTTTGTGCAAAAGAAATAAAGATATCTGTAACACTGTTATTACCCTCCCATGGTTTGACTAATCTTTCAGCTATTGTATTCTAAATGGTTGGCTGCTGAAAAAAAAAGCATGATCTGTTACTGGGAAAAGACTAGAGCAATATTTACTAGTACAATGCACCATCCATGAAATAGTTCTTAGACTATGAATCATGGTAACCAAAACGTGTTTCCAGAAGAATTTCAAGCAACCCCCCTCCAGTAAACTTGTGCCTACTCATTGTTAAGTTTTCCTTTACAGTTCTTAAACAAGAGGTAAATGCTCCCTGCTGTGATCCCGAGTCTTACAGGAGTATATTCTGGTACAGTCCTGGGGAAGGGATGAGTATGACAAAATGACATCCTTCCTGGTGAAAGTCAACATAAGCCTGGAACAGTGTTCTACTAAGGGTCACTATGCCAGCAAATTAGGAGCCAGCAGGTTTGAGTTTTTGTGTGTCACGAGGATTGTGAGTTCCTGTGTAGGTTTTACAAGCCCAGAAAAGGAAAGAAGCATGTCCTGTAAAGAATTTCCCAGCACTGTAGGTGCTATGTTTGAGACTCAAATAACCAAAAAGCATGGGGTCACAAAGAAACCTAGGACCAGGTGGAGAAAGAAGAATGAGAAAGACAAATGTGAGAGGATGCCAATGCAAATAGACTCTACACAACTGGAGAAAGCAGCCAGCTACCCACAAAAATGAACAATTTGACCCTCTTTTACCAATGTCAGCGATTGCAACGAGAATTTAATATCATAGCTGATAAATCAATAATAGGATGCTATTGTATTATGCATGAAACATCCTAATAGAATGAGATTTACACACT